AAATTATTTCTGAATCCTACACGTAAAAGAGGCTTTGGGCGGGGAGGCCAATTCACCGCAAAAGGCTATTTCTGTTTTTACTGTTCTCACTGTGGAACAACGTGGGGCCTTCCAGTGCACCTTCCTCACCTTCCTCAAAGGAAATGTTTCACTTCTGGTCACCTCCTGAGGTCAGTCAATATAATCCCTACTTCAGTTTACTGAAGTAACCCCGCTTAGAAAACTTTCCCACCAGTAGATAAGCAGCAAGGAGACATGGGGAAAATGGGTATTTTTATTACAGTCATCACTTAGAGAATATGGGTCTCTAACAAATTCCAGCATGAGGCCCATTTGTACAGCGTGTGAAGCTCTCACTGCTCCTCTTCCTCAGTTTGAAAGAGCAGAGGGAACTCTGCTGTGATGGTAGAGCTGAAATTTGAGTCTGGCAATATCTGAGAGTAGGCAAGCAGCTGGTGTTGCAGATCACTGCATTTCCAATCATTTGACTGCCCATGAAAGACACCTCAAAGGTTTAATTGTGGGTAATAAAAAAATGGGGAAAAGAAAATACGTGTGTGTGCATGTGTGACGACACAGTCAAGCACATTACCTCAGTAACTGTGTATGTTTACCTGAAAACTCATAATGCGTTCATTCTTTTTGTTAGAGGGTGGTTGAAAACATGTTTTTACTTCTTGTTTGTGGGGTGAATTCATTAAAGCTGATTTATTTATTTGTCATTTAGCTCCTGAATATTATGCTTGCCAGTTCACTTCTTGCATGTTTTGAAGATTAAAATGCAATTCATTACAACTCTGATATTGGTACAACAAAAGTTTCCTGATTGCCCATTGGAACATGTGCTCTTGAAACTTAAAAGAACAACAAGAAGTAAAAGCAGCTCTCACCTTTTGGAGAGGCCTGAATAAACAGAAGGACCTTCCTGTGTGCCGCTTTAATGGTTTCACAGTGGTTAATGTAGCAGTGCTTCTGTCTTAACTGCACAGATGCTTCCCAAGGTTGCAGGAAGGAAAGCAAATGTTGGTGTTTGGATCATTCATCTGCTGTCATCCTTCTCTGTCATGCGTCTTGGGACAGTCCCTGGATCTTACTTGAGTGAGCACCGTATCTTGAAAGTAAGACCCACAGATCTAGTTAGCAGTTTGCAAATTTGATAAATTGATTATTCATTGGATCTTTTTATAACTTTCCAAATAACAGATCTACTCTATATATACATGTACATCACACATATTTAAACAGTGTGGTATTGTAATGACTCTGTGTTTTTTAATTACATTACGTCCCTCAACACTAGCCCCTTTACAGCCTGCTCTGCATGAATGAAATGGGGCTAGCGGGGAGAGAAGAGCATCTCCAGTTCCTCGAAGGGGATTCATCTGAGTTGCTTACCCATGCTGATCTTTTCAAACACAGATTACAACAGTAATTGCATCACCTCAGTCTCTTCCTCACTTGAGATTAGTAGACAATTGACATGATGCAATTAGTACTTCTGTTTGTAGGATAAAATTTCTGTTAAAAAAGTACTCATTGCCAAAAGAAATTTAAATAAGCCGGCTGTACTCTGATGTTCAACCAACATGTGTGGTGTTCATTTCTGCAGCAAGGACTAGAACAACGCTTCTCTAAGAGTGCACATTTCTATATTTGCTATAATTTTCCATTTGTTACAGTGATTTGATTTAGAAGAACATTCAAATTAATCATTTCCTGATTCCCTGCTTTTTTCATTTTTTTTTCTTTTTCTTCTTAACAAGCAGGTTTGCAAAGGGATATCAGTTTAGTTTGCATGGATAGTTGGTGAATACAGTTCATGTGAACTAAGACCATGGCTCCACAGAAAAGGAAACAAAGCTGTGTGCCATCATAGCACCTAGCAGAGAAGGGCAATGAAAGAGTTATATACCCACGATTTCTACCTTGTCAAATTATCAGAGGGTGTTATACAATGTTTACCTTATCTTTAACAGCTGGTCGCTGAAGGAGGACAGGTAATTCTTTATAACATAAAGTCTGCTGGGGAAAAGTTACCATTTCAAAAAAAAAAAAAAGAATTATTGCGATTGTTTAACAGTGTTTCAACAGATAGCTTGTTTTTTAACACCAGATTTGCCATTTTATTTAAAACCAGATTTGCCATTTTATTTAAAAAAACTCTGTTTGACTCCATCTTTTAGGCCATGGTTTTCAATACCAAATCTGTGTACTACCAGATTACAAGACTGGGTCTTGATCATTCATGATTAGTAGGTAGATGATCATATTTCTATTAGAGTAACCTAAGTCTACAGTATGGATTTTGTTCAAACTTTAAGCAGGCTACCAGGTAACAGAAAATGGTTGATGTAGCACAAATCCTGCTGATAAAATAACACAACAAAATCTATCTAGGCCAGATCAACAGATTACACAATGTGTTTTTTGCATATTTTTTTCCAGTACTAGGAGCCCTTAAACCCAATTTATTTCATCATCCATTTAGAGCCTAGATATTTTTGGCAACTAGTGCAGGATTACACATGGCAAGGGTCGTGACTTTGGCTTTTAGCATTGCCTACACCAAATCACTATATACGTTGAAGTCATTTTTTAAAAAGGTGGCAGAGGAGTTGCAGTAATATTGCCACCTGTAGCATTTGAAATTTATTGTGCCAAAAGTCATAGATAGATATATATAAGGTAACTTAAGAGCACCCAGTGTACCTCAGACCTTGCATATGGGGATTTTGAGCATGCAACTGTATTTAAAGCATATTGAGAAACCTTTTTCTTTTTTTGTCGCTGTGCCCTCTGTGTAACAATTTATGCTATTATCAGAGCTTAATGCAAATGTGTACTTCTAATTTGCTCTTCTAAAAGGCACCTTACAGCATCGTAACAGTTACCCTACCTGGGCTTACATCGTGTCCCAAAAAGGTGGTGGCTCTGCTTGAGAAAGACTCCTTCCGATGGGGCCAAGGCTTTGTGGCAAGGCTCTAGCTCCAGGCCCTGAGTACTCAGCGCAGTCAGATGGGTCTGAGGATTGCGGTCAGACTTAAGCAGAAGGCTCTTTCGTCTTCTAAGTGTGGATTTGCACAGAAAGCAGTTCTGTACAGCAAAGTTTCCTGCCTGAAATGAGGTAGATTTAAGTCTTAAACCCATTTTGCAAACAGAGGTAACCAGTGTTACTTATCTTTGGAGAGGTGAATAAACAGCTGATTAGCCAAAGGTCACATGCCAAGTTTAAAATGTGTGTTTTTTGTTCATGGCCACAAAAAGTTATTTTTCTTAGTGATCTAGTTTTTTTAAAGGTCAGCATATTGCAATTTGTATCTTGAGTGAAAGGATTGTTTATCCTGTTTGGCAAAGCTTTGCCTAAGAAAGTTTCACTGTATTTCATCACATGATTCTTGAAAGGTATATACATTTATTCATTTAAGATTCACAGTTGAAAACTGAAAATTGGCAAACTAAAAATATAAAGG